TTATCCTCTTTTCTGCACTTGCTTCTTTTGCTCGCCAGAATGACATATCTTCACTAAAACTTGCATAACGTTCAATCGCACCGTGGGAATAACTTTAAATAAATTCCAGATGAAAGATAACTCGAAGCTTTAGCTCGTGTCAAATTTTCAGGTCGATCCATTGGTGGAAAATGCTTCAACGAGTGCCAAACTTTTGACCATTTTATGCATCTTTGTTTCCATTCATTGCTCATTTACCTTAGACTTCATCCAAACGCGTTTTTAACTGAAAAGACTCTAAAGACATAGAAAAAACTCGAAAAACCTTTGAAAACATTGGTTAGAATGTGTCAAAAACGCAATACATCACGTATGTTGTGGTTTTGACTACATCTTGCTTGTTTAGTTCAAACATTAAACAATCATTACTAAAAACGAAAAAATAGAGACATCCCATAAACATATAAGAACACTAACAAACACAACATAACTTAAGGAATCATGGATGTCATAACAATGAAACCTACTAGTTCCTAAGTTCTTGAAACTTAACAACAACCCAAAACAAAAACAAAAACTACATCATAACCCACTAAATCCTCCAACAAGATCTTCCCCATTGTAAGAATCATGAATGTCGCAACAATGAAATCTCTCCACGATATAACAATGAAGTGATGTAACATTTTTCTCTATTCAGATGCCACTGCTTTGTTTTCAACCTCTGTCTTCTCTTCTGATCAGTTCTTCAACAATTTTGAGTTCACCGTGTTTGCCTCAACTATTGTTCCACTAGTGATTTAATTATTTAATTCTCTAGTGAAGTCTCTAAGTACATTGATTTCTTCATTTTGTCGATGAATTTGATCTCGCGCCTCAAGTAAGCTCACTTTCTACCGACCATATGATTTTTTTTTATCAGCCCATGTGAATAAATCATGTGCATCACATTTGTAAAATTTATTCTCGATTAATCAGTTGTTAATGATTTTGAGATCTTTGTAGGTATGTTACAGTGAAAAAGACCCAAACTTTCTGTCCGAAGCTCCGGAAAGAATGAGTTTGCATCTGAGCCAGAACATTGACTTTGTTCCATCTTCAGAGGAGACATCTTTTTACTTTGTATCAATGTACAATATAGAAGAAGAAGATTTACGGCTTTAGGATTCTTAAATCCCAAATTAATTTGGGCAAAAGAAGTGAGGACAAAACCGAATTTTCAAACTATTACAAACAAGTGATAAAATTTAACATCATTATCATCATTGTTCAACAGGTTAATGCTGTTTGAGTCGAAATTGTAAAACCAACGAATTTGAAAATATAAATATATAAAAGAAAATCTTAAATAGTTGGTGTATAATTTGGCT